TTTTTTTTCTCACTCGCTTATTAAAAACACTGACCGTTTGTTCAAGCACTGAACACTGGCACATGAGTTGTCGAAATGGTTGTTTTAGTACTAAAGTTTGAGGATTCAATATGAGTATTAACCATTATTTAATTTCGAACGACACTTCCAAACCATCATACTTTGTTTCGTTCGCGAACGTAACTTTAACTATGATCTCTTGTTGTGTGAACGTTCCACAACAAGCTGATGGAGCGGGACTGTGTTCCGTTTAAATCCAGGGCTGCTATCTCATTTCAACAATATGATTATCGAGACAATTACTCCTTAGGGCAGAGAGCAGAGACACCAGGAACATATTGATGCCACGGCCATGTATTTAAAATGCGAGCGTGCAGACGGGCGATATTTCTGGGTTCGCGTGCTCGAAAAACTAAGCGAAAATTATTCAACATGCGGTTGCAAAAGCGAGTAAAAATAATGATCGAAAAGCAGAAGCGAGCATGAGGTTGGGTGAAATTAGTGCTTTACATTCAGGTGTAAAAATACGATCGGCCGAGATCTATGTCATTCTGAAGCACGCCAGAGACAGACAAAATGCAGTTTTAAATATTGACACCGTTCGTATTTTTTAAATGAGTCAAAAAATAAATAAATTGCTTAAGCGATGATCGATCGAAACAGACTCGTTTTGCAAGTTTTAACGGCTACGTTCTGCTGAAGATGTAAGACTTCACTTTCGGAGTTATTACCGAAGATAATGTACGACAGCAAAATAACAACAACATTTGGTTATGTGAAATAGAGTAGCATTCATGTAGGCCCAATCAGTACTGTTGTATCGTCTATTTCGTCAACGTTACTACCCAGACCTGCTCGTCGATTATTATTGCAAATGTCATTGCTTTCCAGAATCAATTCGGTATAAGCATGGAAGGTACTAACGTAGTACCTTCCATGGTATAAGTACGTTATTTTAGAATGATTTTCATTTGGTTTCACCATAGACCCTCTAAAAGAGGGTCTATGGTTTCACGTGATAGTTAATCTGATTTATCTTATAGCATTACACCAGGAAGTCCTCGGCATGGGTCACAGTACTAGTATACCCCGGACCACTCGTTTTGATGAATGGTCTGGGTGTGGCTTGTGGGTAGGAATAGAAAATGAATTTTGGTGAGGTTGTGATTATTTGGATTTTTGAGAACGGATTTTTACTATTGAAATGAAATTATCACGTTTAGGGGTGAATTGTTAATAGGTGAAGTGATGTTAAAAACATAAGTAGTTCATCTTCTTGCGTACACCGCAACAACCAAGGTTTATTTTTCAACACAGATCTCCAGTCAAGAGGGTGGCGTTTCGATCATGGAGCTCCATGTTTGGACGTAACCCCAGAGTTAAACCATAGACAATATAGTAGGAAGGATTCTATTGTAGCAGGGTAGGCTGGAAAAAAGTTAAGCTGATTTAAACTAACCGTTAACATAAACTAAATGTTTATTTCGATTTCTCGTTAAGATGCAGTTTACCTGACAAGTATTTTAATTAGTTAATTAGGCAACCAAGATGACCTCCCTTGTCCACAAAACCATATATTTTTGGAAAGCTTATTGTATGAATTTAAACAATTTTTAAGTATTTTTTATTGACACTGTAGTTTAAAATATGCACAAAAATGTGTATTTTTGGTCAAAAGTGATTTTTTAAAAATTAGCTCCTAAACCATGCTTCTGTTTCCTGTCAAAATTGGTTTACGGGTACATCTGTTTACTATGAAGAAAGTGCCTACTTGAAAACTGTTTTTAGGTGGTGAGAGTCATGAACTCTCGCGAAATGCGTAATTTTGTTGACGAGAGTCACATACGGTATTCCATGGGTATTCTAAATGGCCGTTGCTTGCTGATCACGAGTTCCCGTGTGTAGATGATTTGGTCGATGTTTTTTTTCGGATTTTGATGACGGTGGAAATGATAGTGAAGAAGATCCAAACACAGTAGACACAGCAATTCATGTTAACAACTCTGTGTGTTTGATTCAGAGTTCGGGCATCAACATCGGAAGTAGCGAAGATTTGCGTTTTCTTGATCGTCACGTAAAAGAAACCCTTTGAAACGCTAACAAAAAAACGAAAATAGTGAAAATAAAATAATAAAGAAAATCGTGCCTCATTTATACACAAGTATTAGAGTTATTTTGTTGAAATTATTAATAAAAACAGGGTATAACGTAGGTAGACGTGCATTCAGGCTGAAAGACTGGACGACGTGTAGTCAAGATGGCGACAGACGTGAAAACGGAAGACGGAATGAAAGTCTATTAAAAAAATGCGAGACAGAGAACAACAAAAAACAAGTGTAGTCGGTGAAAATTTGAAGATTCATGCATCATGAAAACAATAATATTCGCGTTCACCACGTTCACGAGAACATCTGATAACTATTGTGTGTTCGGAAGATGCGTATTGCGGAAAGAAAACGACTTGTTTGGGGAAAGATACTTGTAGTTCGATACGAAAGTAGTGACATCCCATC